GTTGTTCTTTAAAAAAAAAGATTAGATTCTTTTTATATTCACAGACTATGCTTGAAATGCATTGCAGAATTTTTATCCCTTTAAAAACTCTCCTACTGGGCTGGAGATTTAGCTCAGTGGCATCGCGCCTGCCTTGCAAGTGCAAGGTCCTGAGTTCAATCCCCACTACTGGGAAAAAACAAAACAAACAAACAAAAACTCTCCTATATGTGGAGAAGTGAGCAGTAAGAGAAATTGCTGGTCCATTAAGTATGGATGTGAAACTGCTGTAATAGAATCCTGTTTGACATCCATGAGTATAACAATAATTACTGCTTAAATTCAAGATTCAGGAAACTGTCCTGTTTGAGTCTGCGTGAACCCACACATGTGAATCTGTACTGTTTAAGGCCAGTACCAGGGAACGGTTAAAGGGTACATGGCTCAGCAGTCTTACCATACTGAGACAAAACTAATTAAGTGTTTGGGAAGACACTTAATTAAGTCTCTTGTGTTACCTTTTATAGCTAAGCACTGAATAAAGATAGTTGTTTTCTAAAATGTCCGATAGTAAGAATTATCTGGGACATTTGTTAAACTGATTTCCCTACACTTTCCTGAGACAAGATACTCCAAATCAAGTTGGTTTAGGGCAGAATGATAGTCTGTATTAGTAACACAATCCCAAATGCTGCTTGTATCCGGACAAGTTTGGGAAACACCTAATTAAAATATATAATTATTCAAAATATTATACTTCTTTTAGCAGTTGTCATTGCTTCTTTGAGGTCTACATACAAATACATATTTTCATACAACAGCGATAGCACTGTGAATGAGACCACAGTTCACTATTGAATGATTTTGTAGTTCAGTTAGCTTCATTCTGTTCTAAGAATAGATTATTCCCCAAAGCCTGATCAGATACCTGACAAAGCAAAAAAAGTTTTTGGTTGCAAAGAAAACCGAAATCTCCTGAATTAAAAAATTCAGAGAATGGCTTTGTAGGTTGCTAGTGGTAGAATGCTTGCTTAGCATTTCCAAGGCCTTGAATTTGATCTCAAGCACCAAACCACAAAAACAAAACAAAAAAATTAAATCTATCGGCCGGGTGTGTTGGCACACGCCTGTAAACCCAGCACCCGGGAGGCTAAGGCAGGAGGATCACTGTGAGTTCCTGCCTGGACTACATAGTGAGTTCCAGGTCAGTCTCAACTACATAGTGAGATCCTGTCTCAAAAAACCAAAAGAAAAAAAAAATTAAATCTATCACTACTGCTAGGAAAGCACAACTAAAAATCAAACACAAAATAGTATTCTATTATTAGGTGAAAAAGTATTTTTAAACTACCATTATATATTTGGTAACACAAAACTACTTTAAATATAGAAATACCTTACTTATAATCATTTAATCATTATTTTTTTTTTGTAAACTGGCACACATACAGAAAAGTGCCTGATTTGTGTATGAATTTTTAAAATTTTATTATTTTACTTTTTTGGGTACCAGGGATTGAACTCAGGACCTTGTGCTTTCAAGGCAGGAGCAACGCCACTGAGCTAAATCTGCAGCCCAAAACTTTATTTTTCATTGACACATTGAAAATTATACATATTAATGGGGTACATGTACTGCTTCAATACATGTAATATGTGTGAATTTTTACAAAGTGAACACACCTATGTTAGCTTGTTATGATTTATATCTAGATGTCCCCCACCTTAAAGTCTCACATACTCCTAGGTGGGGCATTTGGGAGGTGATTAGATGGTGGGGGCTAAATGTGATTTAGGAGGTTAAGCTTGGTCAGAGGAGGTGGGTCACTGGGGGTGTGGCTGGGAAGAGTATGTGTCCCTCTTTCCTTCCTAGATCTCTCTGCTTCCTGCTACCATGCCAGGAGCTGTTTCTCCTCTGCAATGCCTGTGACATGCCATCCTGCCTTGGAGCCAGGTGACTATGGTCTGAAACCTTTACAAACCAAGCCAAAATTTAATTTTTGGTACTGGGCATTGTTTCCGAGACAAGAAATCAAGGCATAGTTGGAACTACATCAAGACCCTAAAGGTTACTAGTACCCCAAAAGCCCTCTTTATGCCATGCTTTTGTTATCAATATCCTCTTCCCCATTGTGTAACTGTTATTCTGCTTTAAACAGATGTTATATTCTTGAATTTTATACAAATAGAATCATACATACAGTATATTGTTTGCTTTAATTAAATAGTGAGACTCCTGAATGTTGTACAACTCTCATTTTGCTAAAATATTTCATTGTGATGCTATTACAATTTACTTCCAATTCTTCAAAACTACCATTTAGGTAATTTCTAGTTTGGTGCTATTAAAAATAATGCAGCTATGAACATTTTGATATACACCTTTTTTGAACACATTTCTGTTGTACAGACACCTAGAATAGAATTCTTAAAAGTTTTCCCAGTAGCGGGGTGTGGTAGCGCACGCCTGTAATCCCAGCACTTGGGAGGCTGAGGCAGGAGGGTCACTGTGAGTTCAAGACCAGCCTGGGCTACATAGTGAGTTCCAGGTCAGTCTCAACTACATAGTGAAACCCTGTCTCAAAAAAAGCCAAACCAAAACAAAACAAAAAAACCAAAACCCAAAAAACAAGAAGTTTTCCCAAATAGTTGTACAAATCTACACTCCTACCAAAACTTTAAATTCCAGTTGTTTAGTACCCTCACCAATTGATGTCTGCCCTTCCACTTTAGCCATTCTAGGTGTGAAGAAAAGTATCACATTGTACTTATGAAGAAAGGTATCAATTGTGTTAATTTGTCTTTCCCCGAAACTTCTGACTAGAAGTTAACACCTCTTTCATTTAAGTGGCTGTTTTTAAAGGTGCCTGTTCAGTTTTATCCATGTATCTTTTAGTACTTTTTCCATTTCAAGTTTTTTTTTATAGTTCTTCTCATATGCTGGATACAGATTTTTGTAAGATGTTTATATTCCTGTCCTCTTAAAAAAACCTCTGTATGATTTCAGAAAACCTGTACTTATCTACTTGTAGACTCATCCTCCTAAACTGTGGCTTACATGCTACCAATTTCTCAAAAAAAAAAAAATTTTTTTTTTCTTTTTTTGAGCAAGGGCCTCGCTATGTGGTACAGGCTAGCCTTAAGCTTATACAGCCCAGATTGGCCTCAAACTCACATGCACCTTTTGTGTATTTTCCTTTTTAAAATGTATTTTCCTTTTTAAAATGAGTCATCAAAATACTCTATGTCCACCTTGTCTAGCCAGTAATTTCTCTCTGCCTTTCCTCCGCTACATATTCTCACATTTACTTAACTCTGTGGTTCTGAGTGGAAAGTGTACATATAAGGAAAGTACCATTTATTGCAAAGAAACACTAGAAATCAGGAATGAAATATGATCCTCAGTGTGACCTTGACCAAATCAACCTCTTTAGATTTTAAATCCCTCTTCTGTATAATAGGATTAGAATAAATTATTTAAAAAATCATTATCTAAGAAGCTGTTTTACCTTCAGAAGCATTAAACACCCATCTGTCTACTCATAACCATAATTCTGCTCTTTAAAAAATGGTGACTTGTTTCCTTGCTCCCAGGTGGGAAAATTGAAAGACAGGTCCTTTAGTTGCTCTCAGAAATCCTCAGCAGGATCATGTTCCATAGGAACTGTTAACATACTTGATTATGAGCCCTTCTATTGCCTTTCTTCCATCTGTTCGAATTTTCTATTCCCCTCTGTGTACTTTCCCAGGATCATCTCCCAGGTAAACTACTAAACTCAGGTCTCTGACTCAACTTCTGAGGGGAATGTAAACCTTTTAGAAGTTAACATTTTATCAGGCTGGGGATTTAGCTCAGTGGTTCTGCCACCTGCCTCGCAAGCGCAAGGTCCAGAGTTCAATCCCCAGTACCAAAAAACAAACAAAAAAAAAGAAGTTAACATTTTATCACACCCCATTTGAGAAAGTTGGATATTATCTCATGGACTAAAAATGACCCCATCTATAATGAATAGCCTTTCCTTTTTTAAGTGTTTGTCTATATAAACTTGGCACTCCATAGGAATACAAAACTGTCCACTTCACATTGCTTCCTCACTCCTGTGAAAATTGTAAAATAATGTAACAGTAAAGGAAATAAAATATATCTTAGGCAACATATTGGATTGCTACAATGGATGCTGCTACACTGTTAATTGAATCTAAAATCATCCGGCTTGCAATATGATAAATTGCAATGCTTTAATTCATGCTAAAAATTAAAATGAGTACCATTGATCTTTACTTTAGAAGTGAATTTTTAGAAACCAAATGCTTTTTCAATTTGAAGTACTATTCAGAATGGGATAAAATTCTGTATACCACAGGGCTGGCAATTTAGCTCAGTGGTTCTGCTGCCTACCTCGCAAGCGCAAGGACCTGAGTTTGATCCCTGGCACCCCCCGCCAAATCCTGTATACCACAATTCTGAATCATTGAAGAATACGATTATAGGATGTTTTGCTGACTACAGTAAGGGCCCAATTCAATTTTGTGACTTTAAATTAAAATTGATAAAGGAAGAAATAAAAAATGCAAAAAGTCATGCTGAAACAATAAAAATAGAAGATGGCATGTTTTCTAGAAAATCTTATCTCCCCAACAAAAAAAGCAAAGTTAATTTAAATCCACTTTTTATTCTTTCATAGATTTTTAATAATTTACACAACTTTTAACATAAAGATAGTGAAATCTCAAAGATGAGGAGGCAATACATATGGCCTCTTCTATTCGTTCTTCAGGATGGAAGGAAATTTCCCAAGAGTACAATGTGTGAGATTTAACACTGGAAAAATACATATGAAACTTGTTTAACTGGCTGCTCTTAGGATCAGGCATAGCACAATAAATATAGAACTGCATAATCTTTTTAAAAGATCGCTTGTAATTTAACACATTCTTTCTACAGAAATACTATCAATTACCAATCTGAAATTCTACAACATACAGGTGAAGGGACACTTAAAATGAATATCTGAGCACAGTTTCTCTAGCATCCTTGCATTCATACAACAACATTCTTAAAAGGAATAAAAATGTACATCTCAAATTCAGGATGACAAAAAAAAAAAACAAACAAAAAACAAACTTGGTCAATTAGTTTCTTCATATCATTTATCATGACCACAATTCTTGTTTGCTGGTAGGTTTAAAGTAGGAATAGAAAGTTTTTGAAATGCTTTTAACTTTCACTAGTTTTAGGGCCTCTAGGTAGGAAGGTCTCACTGGGAGCAAACTGATAAAGCAGCACCATTAAGTCCACATCTCAGCAAATCACTGCATAATTTTGTCAATATTCTGAAAGGTTAAAAAAGTTGTATGGAAGACTATCTTTCCCCAATGGCAGTCCACTGTAAAAACATGCAGCTTGCAAGAATGTACATAAAACTACATCTGAATTCTCAACTGGCTGCATCTTTCTTTAATGAACAAAAGATATGTATTACATAAAAATTTAAATAACAGAGGCATAAAATACATATTTTTATTTATGCTATTATATTTGTGTATTTGAGATTGTCAGACATGTTCACATACTCTTTCCTCTTCCCAAAGATGAAGCAATGGTGCCAGCAATATCTATCAGAAAGATTTAATAGGAAACTTGATCTTAGAGCTGCTCTACAGTGTGCCTTATTATTTTTAAACATATACCGAAAAGACAGAAAATTATCTCTTTTTTTTTCCACATGACCCGGATTTTGTTACCAATCAATGTAAGCATTAATTTCATCCCCATGAAACAGAATGGAGACTGCTATGCTCCTATAGCCATGGACAATCGGAAAAATTTTCTGAGCCAGTGAATGAAAAACCACATGAAAATAAAATTTTCTACAACTGGTAAGCCAGGTGTTCAAAAATTCAACAAGCAAACAAACATGCAAACAAGTGATACATGTCAATACTCTGTAAAAACATCATGCTACTCTGGCCCCAAGGAATTGCTACAGCACAGCTGGTTCTTACAGGGCAAAAAGCCTTAAAGCACTAGTACTAAGTATCTTCTCTGCGGAATTTCACTGTCCATTATACTGCTACACGCTTCTTAGACACTCAGGCTTATGTGCTGTTTGAGGAAAAGAAAGAGAATATGATGTAGTTCGAGTTTCTTATTATTATTTTAATTATATTTTTAAAGGGATTTTCTAGTAATGTAGTATATAATAGTCCTTGATACTAAAGTTTTCCTACTTTAAAAAATGATATTAATCTAAATTTGACTATCTGGTCCCTTTTTCCCACTTTTTTAGAGGGTACTGATTCATCTATTCTGCTGAGCTCCCCAAAATGCCTGTTTTAAAACAGTATAGTCCCCAGTAGTTTCCCATAAATATTCCTGATTTATACTGGAAAAGCAATGCATAATTGTTACATTAATCATTCACCTTTTAAAAAGTATTTCCTGCAAAGCAGTTACTTAGCAAAACGCTAAGCTACACATGGGCTTACCACATAGATATTGAGTTGTTTCCCAAGTATCTGTCAAAAGGTTTAGACATTGGGCCTTTCATTCAAAATTCACTGCCAAGAGTATACATGCAGCAGTCCTGTTTACAATTTAATGGACACGAGGAAAGAGAAAGCCCAGGACAAGGAGGGCTGTCATCTTCAAAACACGTTTACAGTAGTACAGCCATTGTTTATCATATTTACTACATTCACCACTTCAGGTAAAGGATCAGGGAGGACCATCAAACACTGCAACAAAGGAATGTTTCTTTTATATAAGACCTACCAAATAAACTGCAAAACAACTAACACACATAGGCACTAGTCACAAAGCTACACAATAAAGAAGCTAAGGGTCTGAGATGAGAAACTGAGGAAAATATACACATGTGAGCTTGCTGAGGAAAAAGGAGGAAAGAAATCACAGTTCTAATCTTCAAGGCTACGGAATGCATTCTGCATATCTTCAAGAAGTTGTGCATAGTCGGCTTTGATCTTTGCCTCACCATCTTTCACTGGATCCTGAAAAAAGACATTACATATCCAATTTACTTTAACTTAGTAGATTTTGAGAACAAAGTTAAGTGAGACATACTGGTAAACCACAGGCAGGAGTCCAAACTATCTTCATTTTCCTTTACAGGCAAAAATGTATAAATGGACTCATACTCCAACCACACAGCGAGAAAACAAATATCAATTCTGTATTTTGCCTGCTAATCACATTTATTGACCAAATCTCAACAATATGGATAATTGAGTGAAATCATGCAGTGTCACATATTAGATGCATATGATAGCTGGGAATTCATTTAATCAAAGAAGAATTTATGATTAAAGGTTTGATACTGTAACCCTGAGATAGAGAAGTAAAACCTGGAAAATAATCTTAAAATCCACCATACGTACAATCTTTATGAAAAGCAAGTTAATCAAGTAATATACATAACAGAAACTAAAATGTCAAGCCGGGTGCAGCTCAATGGTAGTGTACTTGCCTAACATGCATGAGGCTCTGGGTTTGATCCCTAGCCCCGCAAAAACAAAAACAAAACAAAACAAAATTAAAAAAAAAAAAAGGAAAATACTAAAATATTCCAGCTCTTTGACCCAATCATTCACTTATAACAGCAGTGGCAAACCTATAGCATGCATGTTATTGTGTTTTTCTTTTAAGATGTTAATGTAGAGCTGTTTTTCTAAACTGAAACCTCAGTATTCAGGTATAATTGCAGTGTTGGCACTCTGCAATAAATAAGGGGCATAGAATGAAAAAGTGGCACTAGTCTCAAAAAGGTTTTCCATCTGTGACTTACAGGAATCTATAATAAACAAAACTGACTACATGATTGTTCATACCATTAACTGGAAATGTCCTAAATGTTTAACAAGGGATATATTCCTCTTTATCCCCAAATAATGTTACAGAAGAATATTTAATAACAAAAAAAACTCCCCACCTCTGATGTTAATTTGATTCAATGAACATAACTAAAAAGATCTCACCTTTAATCATATTAACAGAAAAAGACAAAATTCAATATACATATACCACTCACTCCCCATGACAAATGTAATCATATACTGTAAGCATGTACTAATAAAAAATTTTAACCTTTTACATGAAATTACATATAAAATTTTAGGTAACTTTATTTTTTTCATTCTATGCCATAAGGATTTCTCTATGCCTATGGATATTATTTGGAAAAAAGATACTGATGCTTTCATATGTTTTGCCATAATATACTATTGGCTCAGTTCATTCTTGGATGACATTTAAGAAGTGTAATGAAAGGGAGGGCAGAGGTAAGGGGAAAAAATGAGAACCAAGACCTGTCATGTAGAGGTACAAGATCCCAACAATGAATGTAACTGTACTGTAGCCCTAAAATGTACCAATAAACTCAATTAAAGCAGAAAAAAAGAAGAAAATATTTTTTAGAAAAAGGAAATACTATTTAGCTAAATTCTTAAATGATGTGCTTATGTTCTCTGAGTCTTATTTTCTTCATATATAAGTTCTCTTGTATTAGCTGCTTGGGTTACTATAACAAAATACCACAGACTGGGGGCTTCAACAGCAAGTTTGTTTCTCACAGTTTTGGAGACTGAGAAGCCCAAGATTGAATTCACTTTGTACTGAGGGCCCTTTTCCTGACTTCCTGCATTCTCACATGGTGGGCAGAAGGACAGAAGCAGAGAGGGAGGGAAAGAGAGAAGGAGAGGGAGAGGGGAAGGGACAGGGAGAGGGAAGAGAGAAAACTTCAACCTGTGACTTTGGTGGACATATAGTTAAGTCCATAGTACTCTCAACATTGCTGAGAGGATTGCATGGTGCTGAGCATAGATGAATCTTAAAAATTGCTCTAAGTGGAATATACAAAAATATGAGCAAATAAATGTGGGAAATTAGAATTGGGCCTTAATCAATAAAGGGTTTAGTTATGCAGTGTATATCAGATAAAGGCTTAGAAACCATGAAATGCACAGACCACAGAGGCCAGAGCATGGTAGGGAGGCTGTGTTGCAGGACCAGACAGAAGAAATAGGTTCCCAAAGCCAAAATGAGTCAAGATACAAGGCACCACATAAAGATGCTGCAAGCCAGGCAGCTACTTCTACCAGTATTTTTATTCTGATAGATGATAGAGTTTGGAGGATATGGATAAAAGTGTCCCTGGTTCTGAGTATTTTTAAATTATTGATTATAGAGAAAGTCTATTTATACAGGATCATATTTTCAAACTATAGTATAAACAAGCAAACACATACAAGCAAACACACACACACACACACACACATACATCATCTTAATTTTTTTTCTTTTCTTGAGGGTCTCACTGAGTAGTTCAGGCTGGAATTGAACTCAATATAGACTGGCCTTGAACTTGTGATGATCCTCCTGCTTCAGCCTCTGAATGCTACCACGCCCAGCTAAAATTTCTATATTAAACACTCAGAGCCTTTTTTTTTTTTTCGGTACTGGGGATTAAATTTAGGACCTTGCACTTCTGAGGCAGGTGGTGGAACCACTGAGCTAAATCCCTGGTCCTAAGCCTTATTCTTAATAGGTAATTAGTAAATGTTCCTAGATGTCATGACTTTAGAAATACAGCAATTAAATACAACCTAATTGATCAAATATTTTAAAATAATCTTATACACTTGAATTTCTATTGGCAATTTATCTATTTTTATTTTCATAAAAACAAGAGGTCACTCCAAGTTAAAAATAAAATCAAGTATGGTGGTACACCACACTAGTAACACCAGCACTCAGAGTGAGACAGGAGGAGGCCAGCCTGGACTACAGAGCCAGACACTATCTCAAAAAAAAAAAAAAAAAAAGAAAAGAAAAGAAAAGAAAAGAAAAGAAAAGAAATAGGTATCTGGAAGGAGTAAACAAAACAGACGTCATTTCAAAAGAAGATGAGGGCTAGATGTTAATAGGTACTTAAGGTAAATGCAACAAAGAATTTAGCTCTAAACTATCAGCCAGCTAAGACACAAAAGAAAACACATCAGCATTTATTTTAGACGTGACATACTATAATTTTCATGACTGGAATGCCTGCTTGAAAATAACTTTGAGTGAGGCCTAGTCTGGTTTTACATAGCCTGAGTATGAGTGAAAGTGATAATTGCTCAAGTTTCACACTCCAGATCTGGAACTCATATAAAAATAAACATTTCTTACTTTAAAAAGTTAAAGCAGAAACAAAACATACCTTGAATTTCATGGAGGAAAGTTTGTAGAGTATCTCCCCCATGTGCTCACGGATAATGGACCATGTGATTTTATTGTCACTCTGGGCAGTGGTCTCAACAGCTCTACGAGCCATATCATAAAATGAAATCATGTTAGACAGCATCCCTACTGTCTTGTAGAATGGGCAGAACCTGGGACAAATGAAGGCCAAAAGAGTTAACAAAAACAACCCCCATAAAACTTTAGGTATAAATTACTAGGGTGTTAGCTTTATTTAAATAGCTAGACTACTTATATTTACTGGATAATATGTAACGTATGAAAAAAGAAAAGCAAAAGAAAACACTAACTCCTTAATGAGTTTTGGGACTGCGACATCTCTGGAGAAATATATTTCTTTTACTAGTTTTAAGGATAATGTTTGTTTTTCTGTTAAAGTCATGTAGGAAAAACAAAAAAGACTGCCACAATACAAAAATTTTCCAAGGGTTGGTTTCTGTACAACGCAGTTAAATAAGTAACTGAAATGGTAAAATAACTGAGTCGTAAAGATCTGCCTGTGATAGTGGTTAAGGTTTAATAAACAATGGGAAAGCAGGAAACTTCAATTTATTAAAGTTCACAGTAGCTCTTTTCCTTCTAATGTTGTCAATTTTCATTTACTCATACCTTTTAATAACAAAAATGTATACATATGAGCAAATACTCATACTTGTTCTCATCAACCTTCTGCTATGTTTTAAGACACCCACACATAATTTCATACCCACTTCTACAACATCCTTTCCAAAGGAGATCAGTGAATTATGTTTGTATTGGTGGTTTGGTTCCTAGGGCTTCTTAAGTTTCTGATATAGTAGATTTCTGAAGCTTAATGATATACTGGCAAACTTTCTGCTTGCCCTACATTTTGGTTAATTCTTCTATTTGTTCAGTTCCCTCTTTAGTTTTTATATGGAATCAAATACGATTTGAGGGAGAAAAGTAGCCTAGGATGAACAAGCTCAAATTCTCAAAAGTTTAAGAAACGGGAATGCTAAACAAGCTACCGTAGTATATGTGCTGCCAAAGCAAGCACATAAGCAAGCTACAATAGTAACAGAGATAACACTGAAGAAAAAGCAAGCACTGGGGAGGAGTAAATAGAACTGGTTGCACTATGGAAATCAATATGGAGATACCTCAAAGAGCTTGGACTGGAGGTTGCATTTGACCCAGCCATCCCTCTGCTGGGTATCTTTCCAAGAGAACTAAAAGAATCATATTACAGAGAAGTATGTGCACCCATGTTTATAGCAGCACAGTGTGTAATAGCTAAATCTTGGAAACAGCCCATTTGCCCATCCGTTGGAAACTGGATAAAGAAGATGTGGTTTTTCTATAAAATGGAATATTACTCAGCCATAAAGAACGAGAAAATAGATTCATTCATAGGAAAATGGATACATATTGAAGATATACTCCTAAGTGAAATAAATAAGTCACACATGTGTAAATACCGAATAGTTTCCCTGGTGTGAATAATCTGCAACAATGCATAAGATTCTAATAAGATTACTGACATTTAGAAATGGGAAGAAAGCTCCTAAAGGTGTAGGGAAGGTGGGATGGGTAGGGGAAGAGTAAAAAGGGAAAAGAAAAAAATGTGAGAGAATGAAAAGATGAAAATAAAGTGTTTGTAGATGGGGAGGGGAGGAGGGGGTGAAGGGAGGACAGGGACAAGGGGAAAAAATGACAATCAAGACCTGTCATGTAGAGGTACAAGATCCCAACAATGAATGTAACTGTACTGTATCCCTAAAATGTACCAATAAACTCAATTAAAGCTGGAAAAAAAAAAATAGAACTTGTTGCGAGATGTAACAAAGACACTGGTAGAAAAAAAGTGAGGCAGGAAAGAGTATGATTTTTTAGGCAAAAGGTGAAAGAGACATGGGCAGTGCAAAGTAACAGTGAGAGAAAGCTTCTGAGGGAGGCAATGATCCCCAGTATCTGCAGACTAAGCCATAATTTAGCATAATTATAGATGGCTGCATGAATGAAAATACTGTCATAATTTGACAAATGAGCAAATCAAGACGTGGAACATATTATATCATCAGATGTCTGCTATGATTATATAAAAGAAGCCAATACATTGAATCAGAATGTATCTGTATGAGGGCAAAAAGTTTTTAATAGGCAGTTCCTTTGCCAAAACACAATAGAAAATCCTCAAATAAAAAAGGAAATCAGTATAGCTTACCTGTCATAAGGTGTATATCCATTTTGTTGCAGGAAATCATCTTTGATGAGTTTTGCTACCTCTAGAGTGATTTTATCAGTTTCTGCTAATGAAGCCTAGAAGAGAAAATTAGAAATTTACTTCTATGATGTGGGACCAATGCTGACAATCAATTAGCAAGCAGAAATTATATAATCAATACATAATCATCCATCATTAATAAATTCACCTTATAAGTGCTTTTTGATTGTTCTTTTTAAATTATGACAAAATTTACCATGTTAACTACAAGAGTACAGTTCAGTAGTGCTAAGTATATTCACACTGTCAGAAAGAGATCTTCAAAATATTTTGCAAATGTAAAACTCTATGTTCATAAATATTAACTCCACCAATCTACTTTACGTTTTTGTGATTTGACTACTTACATACTGAATATAAATGAAGTCATATAGTATTTGCGTTTTTGTGATTGGTTTATTTCACTTAGCATGACATCCTTGTGGTTCACTCATGTTGGGTTACTTTCACTCTTGACTAATGTGAATAGTGCTGCTATAATATAGGTGTGCAAACTGATTAATACTCTTTAAAAAAAAATACAACTTCAGATCCTGGCTTGCTATCTTAATAATTTCAATTCTCAGTGTTTTAAATGTTTTTGTGGTACTGAAGACTGAACCTAGGGGCAGTCTACCACTGAGCTACAATCCCAACCTTCTTCAGACATCTTCCAAAACTGCCCAGGGTGACCTTGGACTTGCCTTCCTCCTTCCTTACCGTCCTTTGTGGTGGGATTACAGGTGTGTTCTATCATGCCTAGCTGAATTCTCAGTTTTAAGTTTCTTTCGCAGTAATCAATAAAGGCTTGAAGCTATTACAATTTTTAAAACAATACATGATGTTTAGAACTATGAAGGACAGTAAGTGTGCACTTAATCTCTGAGCGCTGTTTTATTGGGATAGCTAAGTTATAAAGCTCATCTTCAAACATCAATGCCTCCAACTCTCTAATTTTGTAATCACTGTCAGCCCTGACAGATAATACCACACTGTCGATAGGATTATTAATGAATAAAGAGTTCTTGGAAATTGTGAGTTAACTGTACCTTAGCATTATTTATTTGTACTGAGCTCCTTAGGTAAGGATCAGATTTCTTTCTTTTTCAAAAAACATCCTTTTTGTCTTCATTCCTTTCTTCAACCACAGGCAAATATTAAAATGCTTTATGTGTTTTCTTTTTGTTTTTTTTTTGGGGGGGTATTTGTTTAAATTTATGTGAAAGGTATATTTTACTTTGTGCAGGTATTTTTCATTATGCAAAACATTCTTGTGTCTGCTGCTTTGTTTTTCAGATCCACCCACATTGCTGTGTTCCACATAATTTGGTGCTCTTCCTGCTCTTGGGTAATTCATTTTCTGAGGTGCTCATCTTCCATACTTTACTTTCTTCCCTAGTTCAGGACAAATGGAACTCCACTGATTACCTGCTACCATAATTATGCACTTAATGGCTCATTTGAGAATTTTCTTTGAAGACAAATATCCAAAAGTGAACTAAGTCCCAGGGTATTAAAACAAGTCCTATCACACGGTTCTCTAAAAGGGCAGCACCAGATGAGACACCCAAAGATGATACATCATCCTTCTATCTCAGCAACACTTAGCTACACCCAGTTTCTGCCATTCTCCCCAGTGTAATATGACGTACTGTTGTCCAGACATTTCCACAGAACTGTAACTTTTAGGGTTGTTTCTTCTATAACCTGTTTGCTCTTTCCTTTGCCCACATTTCTCTTAGCATTCTAGTCTCATGTTAACTTAAAGTAAATCTTTGTACATTTTCAATAGTATTCCATCAGTTTTAGTTTCAAACTTTCTCTTCCAAACTGTCACTAGTTTACTAACTTGATCCATGG